AAGAGTTTTTAAGAGTTTTAGCCAAATGCATTATAATATAGTATAGATATATATATATATAATTAAATAAAAACAAAAAATTATTTAAAGAAATACACATAAAATAAATAGTTAGTCTGATACTAATATCAATATATTTTTTTTAATTTTTTATGATATATTTACATTTATATTTTATTAAAAAATAAAAACATTATCGTTTTCTTAAAACCACATAAAACCGTATTATAACATCGACTGAGACAAAAAAAAATAAAACATTAAAATCAAGATATATTTAACTGTATTATGCGAGTATCATTCTAGTTTTTTATAACATTTGTTAATAAACTATAAATTCGTTGATAAGTTGCAAGCAAACATTAAAATATAACTATAAATAAAAAGTACAAGAAATCGTAACATTATTCAATATACACACACATATGTGTGTATGTATATACATATATATATATATATATATATATATTGAAGTATATAATATTTATATATGATAAATAGAACAAATAAACCTACACGTCCTTCTCACATCTGGTGAGGTTTGAACCCCTGACTTGCTATGAGACAAAAGACTCACATACTGCAAAGCCAAAGGCCTTTTTGGTATGTGTGAATATGAATCCTTACGCAAAAAATTTGAATTTTTACGCGTAAATTTGAATTTTTACACAAAAAAGTGGGAAGTTTACGCAGAAAGGGGTTTCTAAATAAATTTTAAGTTTTTGGTCGAAATCGATCATTTATGAATAATGCATAAGGAATATGCGTAAGCTATGTTTATGTGAAGAAGTGGGTTCATGACATGACTAAAATATTAAATCAACTTTTATGGATTACCTATTCTTGTCAATTTCCTTGTGGAAAATGATAAAAAACCTTTATTCAGTTGTCATTTTTGGCGAAAGTTTTGAAAAAAACACGTTTAATTAAGTGTTTATAGTTTAAAAATGTTGTATTTAAATGGGCATAATTCATAAAAAAAGTAACGTATTTTAACTTAATTCATATGTTGGGTAGCGTACTAGTAAACCTTCCATCATGATACCTAAAATGTAAATTTTTTAACATTTAAGTATCCAGGTAATAGTTTGAAACATTAACCGGTTATCATGCTGATGTGGCGAGTGATGTGGTATCAACTCAATATTATTTGTTGAAGCATTAATTGGATACCACATCACCCGCCACATCAACATGGTAATTGATTAATGTTTCAACCAGTTACCCGGGGTACTTAAATGTTTAAAACTCTAAATATTAGGTACCAAAATGAAAGTTTTAAAAATATGTTAAATCAAGGTAAATAACGTTATTTTTTCATGTAATTTATCCTACTTAAATATATATACTTTGAATAAAATACGTTGTTGGGAAATGAATGTTCTAAAAACTCATAATTATCTTAATTTTTAAAAAGAATCCAAATTATCTTAAATGTATTTTTTTAATTATATAAAAATTCAAGTATTTTATTTATTTTAATTTGATACCCGTATACATATATATTTAATAGGTTTTTGCAAAATCCGAATGGTCTGAAATCCAAACCAAACAAAAAATAAGACGTTTGTGCAAAACCTGAACGCATCGAAACCCGAAGATCCCAAACCCGATTTTTGGGGGGGATAATTGTGCTCGGGTGGGTTTGGTTTTTGCTCACACGACCCATTCAAAAACCCGATATATATATATATATATATTCATCTACTTGTCTTTTTTGATTTTTAAATCCTAGTCGGTCATACTCTTCTTTAATTCTAAACCTACTATCGATATCATTGATACTAATACAACAAATACTCCATAAAACCAATAACTCGGGATGTGCAATCCGAAACCAAATACGAACCGAAAATAAGATGTTTATGCAAAATCAAAATGTCCCAAAAATCCGAATCACGAATAATTTTAGGCGGATATATGGATTGGGTTTAATTTTTCACCACCCGACCTTCTGAAAACCGATACACACACATACAGACGGAAAATCGTGTGAGAATGAGCGTTAATATGAGTAACATAATAAAGGATATGGACCTTTGAGCGCTTTTAATTTAAATTTTCATTATAATTTAATAAAAAAAAGTAATTTATTTTTGGTTTAATAATATATTTTTTATAAAAATCATAATTAAACATTTATTAAAAGTCGATGATTATCTTAATTATATTTTAAATTTTATTTATTTAAAATTATATTTTAAATTTTATATATTTAAAATAAAATGTCTATTCAGCATTCGATTATGTTTATCTTATCGTTATCGTTTTATTCGATAATGATTGAGTAAATATATTTTAACCGAACTTATCTCAAAATAAAGTTGGTCAAATAAATAGTTAAAATAATATCATATGTTATTGGAAATTTACTAAAATGGGTGGTGTGGAGCAAAAATAGGTCCAACAAAAATAAAGGGTCAAATTGTAGACTAGTAATTACCATAGGTATATTTTACCGGTAACCGGTAAATACCATGACAAACGGCCAGGCGCAAAAACAGATGGATTTGTGCTCCCGCCACCTCTTATGCCAAAGAAGCAGTAAAACCCTATCAACCAGACACGTGTCGGTTTCTACCTCTCTTCTAGTCATAGTAATACTCCCTACCAACACAATTCCCATTCATCTTCTTTCCCACACTCTTTCTCTCTCTACAGATTTCCCCCCTTTTCTCTCTCTAGAAATCTTCCGACTCCATCCACCGATTTCCTTCAAATCGGAACGATTTTCCGTTTGATTTCTTCTATGTCATCTGCATTCACCCGCGATTAATCAACGCCGACGGCGATTTCATCCTTTGGATTTTCACGGCGTGTTTATCGTCGAACACTATGTCGATTGGCGTTCCTTTGGAGTAAAAGTAAAAGTTCGTTTTTTTTTCTTCCGGTTTCAATCAGTTCGTATTCTTCCACTTCTTGTTCGGTTCGATTCCCTTTTTTTTGCATTGATTTTGGTTTCTGCTTTGGTGAATTTAGGTATTAGTTTTGAACGTTAGGGCGTTTTATTCGTTGATTCTTTATCTGTATATCGTTCGCCTTTTCGTTTTTATTATCTCACACGGTTTATATTTTGTATTATAGCTGATACAAGAAACTCTGAAATTTTCGGCGCGTTGTTTTAGTTTGCCCCCAAAATTGAGGGTTTTCTTGTTAGTTGTTTTCTTCTTCCGTTATTTTTAGGTTCAGGTAAATCATAAGAGAAAAAACCAAAAAAAAGGTGAAAAAAAAGAAAAAAAATAATATCAAGGAGTTTCTCATCTTCTCTATTTTTGCAATTTGTCAGTTAGTTTGTCTAGGGTTTCGGTGAATTCGATTTTCTATTCAGAACACAAAAAAACTATTGCTTCTAGGGATTATATATATAATGGCATTGAATTATTCGCAACGCCCGATTTTCCCTGCTCATACGTCGGAAGACAATTTGGTTTCTCCATTGAGAATTGTGAATGGTGGGTATGCTGTGGAAGGCATGTCTGAGAAAGGGGGGGAGGGTTTTGTTAAGCCAAGGAATGGTCATGGAGAATTGCATGATCGATTTGGTCATGGAAGAGAGATAGTTGATAAGAGTGGGTCAGCGGATTCTGTGCCGAAAGATATTATTGACTTATTGCCATCGGATCCTTTCGGAATGGATATTGATATTAGTACTACTTTTACGGCGATTACGGGATGGCTTGGAGATTTGGAAGTGGATTATGGGGAATATATGAGGAACAAAATTGTGAATCACAAAGAAGATTATGGGTTGTTTGCTGGTTTTAATTTCATTTGGAATAGTGCTATGAGGTTCCAATCGTTCCCGAGTAATTTGACGTGTAACGATAAAGTTGGTGCAACGTGTATGGTTGATCTACACATGAAAACAGGTGAGTTCGGAGATTTGGGCAACGACGTTGTTAACCCGGCTCAGAATGCAGAGGATATGCGCGGTTTTAATTGTGCAAGTGCGAGTATTGATATTGTTTCTTGTCGTGATGGTATTGGAGGAGATCCTCACGAGGCTTTCGTTTTAGCGCTTGGTTATCTTGGAACTAGAGATCTTCTAGTGGTGGAGCGGGTTTGTAGGTCTTTGTGTTATGCTACTCGTAACGACTCTCTTTTATGGAGGAACCTTCTCATTGATCAGCCATTGAATGAGAGGATTACTGATGATATTCTTGTTCAATTAACGAGCAGGGCTGAAGGTAATCTCCAGTGTCTGAGCTTAATAAAATGCCCAAAGATCACTGATGATGGTCTGAGGCGTGTACTAGAAACCAATCTGAAATTGACCAAGGTAAACAATCTTTTTAAACAATTTGATCTTAGTTGTAAGTTATCTTTTACATTGATATATGTTTGCATATTTGATGTTGTTTGTGTTTTGCAAAGTATAGTTTTGTAATTCAATTCGACTTCTCATATGGGTATTAACTTGTTGCAATGCCTTTAATTTAACTACTAGTATCTTATTTGGTTGGTTTTCCATTAAGGGTCTGTTTCTTTGCAGCTTATTCGGTCGGTTGGCAGTGACTTAATGATACAGAAAGTGACTTATGCATTAAGTTTCTAGGAGGAGCTTTAAGCAGAAAGCCAAGTTTTTCCCTAACCTACCTCTCCCAATTACAATTAGAAAATACGTTCCTTCCATCTATGAAAAAATCATCCCAAACAAAAATATTCAGAATATATACAAACAAATTAATCCACACAACTAACCAAATAGCCCCCAGGTTCTGTATGGATAAAGCTGTCCATGTGGTTTAATCAATTCCTATAGATTCGAGGGTTTTTAATTTGGGAGGGTTTTTCCATCTATGGGTTTTTCCATAGATGGAAGGAGTGTGTTTTTTAACTCGGAGAGACAAGTTTGGAGAGAACTTGACTTTCTTCATAAAGCTACCTCTAGAAGCTTATTGGATAGCTACTTTCTATATGATTAATCCCCTATCAAACAGTAATGTATGACCGACTGAATAAGCTGTGAGTCCCGTTAATCTGCTGACAAAACTACTCGATATTTTCACATGCAAATGCCATTAATCGATAAGAGGGTTTTGCATATGCTTGCAAGATAATTACTTTCTGTTTCTCTTCTTGTGCTTTTTGTAAGAACTATACTTTCTTTAATTTCATGTTGATTACGTATAAAAAAAAGCCGATAATGCTTCGTCTTAATGTAGTTATCTGTCCCCGGATGCACGAGGCTCAGTATCGAGGGTATTTTGAATAACCTGAAGGCTTTCAAGTCAAGTACGGAAACTGCTGGTATTAAACATATAAGAACCGGTGGGTTCTACGGCATAACACTCGAGCACTTTGAACAGTTGAAATACTTGTTGGGAATTCAGAAAAATGATTCCAGTCCGCATTATTATCATCGTGGAAACTTGTATTTGCCGTCTGATGATGATCGTGCTATAGACGTTGAAGTATGCCCGAGATGTGAGAATTTGAGGCTTGTTTACGACTGTCCAGCTGAAGGTTGTCAAGCGAAAGATGAATGTCGGGCCTGCATAATCTGCATACCTCGATGTGCTGAATGTGGGCGGTGTGTGCACAATAGCGAATACGAAGAAACCTTCTCGTTGGAGTATCTTTGCTCGGAATGTTTGAAACAATTGCCGAGGTGTCAGGAGGTGGTGGCACAGGAGATGAAGCTGAGTGATGCTAATTGTCTTCATGGCTAAGTGGTATGTTCTACATTTGGTTGATCGATCTTCTCAGATAGTTGGAAGGAGAGTAAAGTTGTGTCTGAACGTTTCAATCGTTAAAGAAAAGAAGCCCCCTGATGAGTTATCGTTCTAAAGATGAGGAAAACGAAGAAAAAAAAGGTAAAAAAACGTATAAAAGAAATTGCGTAAAGGGAGGGGCGAGAGGGGGCGATCCTTAACGGCTGCAGCTGCTTCAGGTCGGGTGTGGAGAAGAATGGTAAAATGTTGAAATGTCGGGATGATTTTTTTCGTTGTCTAGCCGATGGCGGTCATGTGATGGAACCTTCTTAGCGGCTAGAGTTAGTTGGTTTGTTATTTGAAACCGTTCGAGACCGATATGGGATTGGCTTGAGCTTTTCGGTTCTTGCTGGTTCGAGATTGTGCTCGCCTGGTTAACTATGCATTGTGGACTCGTTTCTCTTTCTATATTCGATGGTTTTAGACCCATTTCGTTTTTGAAATGTTTCGTTTTATTTTTTGCATGTCGATGTTGAATTTCTTTTACCGAAATGTTCGTTTATAAATGTGGTTTTAGTGGGTATATCATGTATCGTACTTTCATGAATACTATAAATTCTTTATGGTAGATTTGAGCATTGGTGTTTTAACTTCGATTGGTGCTACAGGAGTTGAATGAATCGCGGAAAAATAGTAGGGATCGACTTGAGATCGTAAGAACAACAAAACAACTTTGTAAAGGTTAAAAAAAATCCGAACCTTCACAGCAAAAATACTGTGAATGTTACTTTCACAGTGTGTGTTTTGCTGTGAAGTTTCAGGTATAAAATTGTTGTTTCACATGAAAACAATTTTGTCTCACATAATTTCAAGTCTGTATAACCGATTGAAGATATGTAAAAATTGTAAACGTAAGTGAAAGTGAATATCAACATCGATGAAAATAGCTGCAAATGGTTGAAGGTTCTTGTTTTTGGTCAACAACTAATTAAAGATGAGTAAGAGCCCGTTATCTCTTGGTGTTAGATAAAAAAAACTCAACTGATCTAATGGTTTAGAAGTGTTTTCATAAATTTCATCGTAATTGTTATTCTCACATAATCCAATCCTATTAGGGTTTTGGAGGGCAGGTTCTATGTGGGGTTGATTAAGGTTGTTGATAATCAACTTTTTATTTAAACATGTTCAGATAGTTGCAATAAATGACTCCAATGGTTTTATAAAATATAAACTACACAAATTGGGTCCGTCTTATCATAAAAAAATGCCAATCTTTTGATTCTTGAACATGAACATTTCATGGTAATCATAATAAAACAATAAAAAAAACTTCAACAAACAATACATATATTATCCACACTTCTATGGTTATTATTACTCATTTTATTTAATTTTACAACTTTATTCATAAACAATATCTCTCTCTCTCTCTCTCTATATATATATATATGTGTGTGTATATATATATATATCATTAATTAGATTTTATTAACTTTTTCGAATTATTTGAATACTATTTGTCGATGATTCTATTAACAACTGACCTATATTTATTTAGACAATCTTCGGATTATCAACCGAAATACTCATGCTATCTTACAACGTGCAGTCCCACAGTAGTAACAATAAAACAAAAATTAATAAATATTTGTTGGAGTTCATATGAAATCCTCCAAAGAAAATATCATATACAATAAATGAATCAAGAAACATAATTACATTCAACAAAAACCCATAATTTATCTGGGTTTTTTCAAGAATCATCATATTTGTTTGATTATTTCTCACTTTTCTTTCCCAAATTCTTCATCCATGCAAGGCTTAAAATCGATTTCATCGCGCCTTTTCCCCTCGTTTCCTCCTTTTTCTTCTTATCCTCATTCTTCTTTTCGTTAACCGGAGGATCTTGCACGGGATCCCATTGTTCGGCCCACGAGGTTCCCTTCGAGTTGAAAACTTCCATCTTTCTCTACCTGATAAAATTGCATGATTTCAAGCAATAGTTTTAGGATTATAATCTCAATCAATGTGTGGTTAAAAATGCTTAAAAGATTTACTCCCATCATTCCATTGTTGGCTATGATGAATCAATGGATTTTGACTTCGTCAAACTTGGTGAAATCTAAACATACAAATAGGCCTCAAAATTCAATGCCAGTTTTTCAATGTGGATAATGGATTAGGGGACACTAAAACAAGTGGGAAATAATGAATAGATCGGGTAAGAGTGCGTAATTAGACTGTAGAAAACATAACATGGATCACTGTTTCATGTTTGACAGAACTTTTATGTGGAATAAATTGGAACATACTTGTATTTTACCAATATTCCTCAAAATAAAACATAATTCTCTTCTAAAACATCAAAATACGCCTCCCTCTTTACATTTTATTCATTCTTTAAATTTTATTTATTGTATTTTATGCTCTTTAGACTTTCACTTTATTGTCCTCAATATATTTTTTTATACGGTTTCTATATCTTGATTAATTCATGTATTTTATTAAATATTTTTAATAAAAAAATAATATCGAAAAGGTATAAAATAAAAATTGGAAACAACATAATTTTTTTATTTTGGTGTTATCTTAATCGACTTGACGAAAACTTTCTAATGCTATATTTTATTATAAAAAGTATTTATTTTATTATAATTTAGTAAATTACATAAAGTAATCAAAATATATAAAATATACAAACAACTCGTTAGGATATAGAGGTAAGTTGGTCATTTTATTTGTTTTGTACTATCTGGTTCCCTTTTACCAAATGTTGAACAGTTGTTTTTCTTGTCTGGATATCAAATGCACCCTGATTGAACGGGACTGGATGGTGAGGTAGAGTGAGGTAGGCGGGTGAAAAAATTATGGAAGGTTTTAGGGTTTTAAGTTGACATGGGTAACTTAGTAATTAACCAATCTATCTCCTATATTCTTGTTCCACCTATTTTAGTCATGTCCCGATCTATTGTCGCACAAAAAGTGGGACAAGTTCTTGTTTTGTCCTATGCGGCATACCAAACGCACAATGCTAAAGGATTTTGACATGGTCTCTATGCAATTTCATAGGTCAAAACGAGTCAAACTGCTCTTGCTGAAGGGTATTACTGCTTAGTTGCTGTTTGGTTGGTTTTCCATTAATTCCTGTATGGATAAAGCTGTTTGAGTGAATTAATTTTTCTGTACAAATTGGGGAAGTTTTTGTTTAGGAGGGTTTTTTCTCAGAAAACTTACTGAAAAAACCACTTTCTATATTATTAAGCCACTACCAAACAATCATGTTAGTTGACCGAATAAGTTGTAAGTACTATTAAGCTCATTAAGAAGCTAACAAACATCCCCTCAGATGTTTAACAAATAAGTAATTACTTCTTCTATCCTAAAATAAGTGTCTAACTTTCAAAAGTAAGTATCTACTTTCCAATTATACCATTGATTATGAGACGGAGAATTACTCTCTTTGTTATCAAGGGTGAAATTGTCATTTAATTAATTAAAAAGCGTAATAATCAGACATCTCTAAAACTGTGTGCATTTTTCATTGTGGACATTTATGTTTGCATGAACGGAGTACCAAATGAAGCGATAGCATTACCTGAAGAACTCAACATGGCCCGCAATTTCTCGACATAGAAGCTTCGACTTGCTCGCCAACTCTTTGCTCTTGCGGATCACTGATTCCGTTTGATCATGTGTTGACGTTGGTTCGTACTTCTTAGCTTCCTCCTCGCTTCCCATCGACAACGCTTCTCTAGCGGGGACCACATTTTCCCACCAAAATTCGCGTAAAATCCCATGAATCAACGCCCAATATTCTTGATCTCTACAAACACGAAATATGGTGCTCCCATTCGGTGTCCAACAATACAAATCAACCCACTCTCTGTTCATAACTTCCATTTGGCCCTGAACTTGAGGCATATAATAGAAGGGCATATTGGTCCAAGGCAAACCAAACTCGGGTTTCCCTTTGTTAAACGGACATTTCACTTCAAGAATCCCCGCATTCGGGAAACACCCGAGAAGCCCATCTGGAGATGCACCAATCCAATCAAATTTGTTTTCTGAATGTGTAGCGAACCCCAATGAATTTACTTCACGACCAGTGATGGATTTGTATTTCTCAATTGCTGTTGATTCATTACATACACCCCATTCCATAGCACGTGCTGCGGCAGGTGCGAACGTGATCATGGAACCTTCCGGAAGAAACACCTTTTCGTGCCAGAGTTCATACCTTCGCCGACCTTTCCAGAAACCAAGTGCAGTACTGAAGGTGCTAGTGGTCAATTTATCCCTTCGAAGGGCAAACCATTCCTCTGAGCGTTGGGAAGGAGCATCTGATGGGGAGAGTTGACTAGTCAAAGTCAATGGCTGGGAGTGGTGAACTAGCGAGGTCAATGGAGCTCTATGCAGTGGTGAAACACTGGTTGACAAGGGTCTGAAAAGATCAACTCGAAGCTTCTTTCGTTTTGGATGGTGAAAACAACGGAGACTAATGAAGCAGGCATTCGTCATCTCTAAAACCTACAAAAACAAAAACGGATTGATAAAATAAAGATTTTTTCAACAATGATGTAACATTCCAGACTAACCATACCAGATATTGCCCGCTTTGCCCACACACCTGAACTCACGGTTTTAAATGCATCAAATAATATTAGTTTAAAACCAATCAATAAAAGAAATAAATCATCTCATTGCTTTTACTTGGTGCATCAATAATTCAATAACATGTTTCTTGCCCGTGTTTCTTACTGGTCTTACGAACATGTTTAAGTTGCAATATACATCAAATTCTACTTGTATTACATGTTTTATGTTCTTACATTGTCTGCTTGCACACCATTGATTTGTTATTCTACCTGTTATATTTCTCGTTTACCTTTTATATTACCTACTATCTTAGGGGCTGTTTGGTTGGTTTTCCATTCACTCCTGTATGGATAAAGTTGTTTGTATAGAGTGGGAAGATTTTTGTTTGGAAGGGTTTTTTCATAGATGGAAGGTGTTTTTCAATTGGGAGGAGCTCATTTGGAGAAAAACTTGGTTTTCTACATAAAGCTCCCTCTTAAAAGCTTACTAAATAAGTCACTTTCTATAGCGAACCGAATAAGCTTTAAGTCTCATTAAGCTCATTAAGTTGCTAAGAGACATGCCCTTATTGTCTGCTTGCACAAACCATTCTTTCATGCACAAGCCATGGGTTTTCACTAAAACAACCTTACGATCCTAGTGATTGAGGTAAGATATGCGTACATCCTACCCTCTCATACACTACTTTAAGTGGGATATACTCGGTTCGTTTAGTTTGGTTTATCAATATTTGGGGATGCTGATTCCCAAAGTTGGGTACTTGAATTGAAGAAGAACAACTTAGAACTTTAACTAAATGGCCTTCAATGTCATTCCTAACTCCTGGATTCTATGCCAAGTACTTAAAAGGATCAATCAATCATTTCAACCCATTATAATCGACACTTCATTCATGAACAATCAATATACTTGCAAAAGTGCAGTGAATCTATTTGTTATCATCATTTAATCTACGAATGCAGATAACCAACTCAAACAACCAAACGAACATTGGGCATAATCTAGCAAATGGTTTATGCATAAGATTAAACGGAAAAACAGAAGCAAAAAAGTGAGAAATTAATCGATATGAATCTACAATACAATCAATGAATACACTTACGCATATAAAAACCCAAAAAGATATCAAGTTGCGAAATTGAAATAACTTCCGATTGCTTGCTTACACTTGATTCAAGTGTTGAAACGACGAAAACCCGATAAAAATCTATAAAATTACAAGGAAAATATCGGATCTCCAATGGCGTCTTAACAAGAAGAATTGAATTGCTAACCTGTGTTCAATCTGTAATCCTCTGGTGCTCCATAATTTCTAGGGTTTGTTGTGAATCACTGATTTCATAAGGGAACCGTATGAAATTGTATATATATATATGTGAATTTATAGGATGATGAACAAAAGGATCCGTGGCGCAATGGTAGCGCGTCTGACTCCAGATCAGAAGGTTGCGTGTTCGATTCACGTCGGGTTCAAATCCCTTTAAATCCTTTAATTTTTGTAATTTTTATTTAGTGAAACTATTGCGAAATGTTTGGATTTGATCCCTCCCTCTAACGGTCGTTAAAGAATTTCGTTAAATGAAGGACATTCTCGTTTTTTTTATCCATTTTTGGTCTTTTAACCAATCAAAATCGATTTTATGATCTGGTTTTATGACTTTTGATTGGGTAAATAACAAATAAAATTGTTAAAAAGACAAAAATACCCCTTCTTTAACGAATTTTTTTAATGCTCGTTAGAAGAAGGGATCAAATTCGGATGCTTTTACAAACTACGATGACCATTTTTGTAATTTCGAAAGTATAGAGACGTAAAATGTGGTTTTTTTTTACTAATTATATGTACCAAATTTGTAGTTTACTCTTTTTTTTGTTTAGCGTAAAAAATTAACAATGATTAAGAAAAATATTGTGTACATATTTTATCTGATAGATGAGTTTTCAGACCAACGTACATTACATTTTCATGCATTCCCACATGTAAACAATATGTCACGTTTGATATACCAAATGAATGTTCTAAAAATATGCTACACAAGATAAAAAAGTACATTGTTTTTTCATGAAAGTTGTCATTACATTAAATAAAAAACAAGAAATCTTCGTTGTTTTTTGATGTATTTTAGCCTTCTATATATTCATATAGAATCATATATTGACATTTTACACGTCTTTTTTCCAACCAAGGA